AGAACTACCGCACCGGCTTTGTCTATTTTTGTACTGTTATTAGTCTTTTTTCTATTGATTTAATAGGTGCTTTTTATTTATTATAGAGATCATCTCTTTGTTGCAAAAATTCTTCCTATTTTGATATGATTGATTTTTTAAATATTAGGGTGTTTTCTGTTGCTGTTGATTTTTTAAATTTTTGGTACCACGAGTTGAACTTGGGACCTTGCACTTGCCAGGCAGACACTTATGCTGCTGAGCTACATCCCTGGCCCTTGTGTTTTTCATGCGGAAGAAGTTTTTGATTTTCATGTATTGGATAGGTCCTATTATAGTTAAGAAGACTCTTTCTATGCCAAGGCTTTCAAAGAATTCTCCAATGTTGTTTTCTAGAACTTTTATTGTTTTATCTAATGTGTTTAATTTGTGATTGTTTTTTGAGACGGAATCTTGCTATGTATTTCAGGCTGGTCTTGAACTTACTATGTAGCTCAGGCTGGCCTCAAACTCTTCTCCTCAGCTTCCTGAGTGCTGGGATTATAGGCATGTGCTATCACATCCAACTTGATTTTGTATTTTCTAATTGAGTGCCACTTTTTAAACTAGCAATCTAGTTGAATTTTTTTATTGAATATTTTTTTAAAACAATGATTTGAAATGCCACTTATATCACAACACAAACTTGTAGCATTTGGGCCCATTATTGTCCTTTTCATCCTATGCCATCTGCTAATTTATTTATGTTCCAGTGTTGTAGCTCCTTAAAACATCCAGCTTGTCCACTATCTGGCAGGGTAGGACCTCACCTTTCTCCTTTGTGTCCAGATTGCCTGGACCACTGTTATTTATATTCCTATAAAAATTTTACAGTTGAACAACCTAGTTCAGAAAGCATGTTGACAGTTTTTAAAATTAAAACATTGAGGAAAAGATTAACATCCTTCCCTTCTTCAGGTCTGTTCCTTCTGTCTGTCCTTCCTTCGTTCTTTTCTTCCTTCCTATTCAGGACTCTGTGACTTGACTTCCCATTTTCCCAGGGCTTTCTGAGGCCTCTTAGTCCTAGTCTTACTTAGGGACAGAGAGTCTTTGGGACATGGGAACATTTCCCGGTCCAAAGAAAGCTTAGTGGTTCCTAGTGCTAGCAGTAACGAGGGTGCTGATGACCCCCTTCATCCTTCTTTGAGCCAGACTTCCCTGCCTTGGCCTTGTCTGGCCTTTGGGTTGGGATTTGCGGGAGGGGAGGGTCTGTTACCGACACCTAGAGAAAGAGACAAGAGAAGGGGGCCTTGGAGGTGAAGGAGAGAAACACCATCTGCGTATCCAGAACTGAAAGCCAGCAGCCCTGGACAAAGATAGAACAGAGCCTGAGGAGGGCTGTGGGTTGTGGGGTGGCCTGCAGGCAGTGCGGGAGGAAGAGGAACCAGAGGGGGCAAGGGTGGGGTGTGGGGGTGAGCAGGATAAACAGGGGAGCAGGGGAAGGAGGAGGAAGAGGAGGAAGGGGAGGAGGCTGTCTGTGCACAAGCAGGTGCAGTGGGACAGAAAGAGAGACAGAAACCGGAAGGCAGACCTTTACTATGAGGATAGTGTTGGAGGAGCAGGGAGGAAAGGGAGATGGGGCAATCAGAGCGAAAATAATCAAAACTTGCATGCATGCATCAGTATACCAAAATGAACCTCGCTGTTCTGTGCTATGACTGTGCACTAATAAAGCAAGAGAGACTGCCAGGAAGAAGGGACAGAGGAGGGGAAGATGGACAGGCTTTGTCTCCTGCCCCTTGTGGAGATGGCCACCTCTTCCATGGACGTGATGTCTTCAGTTTCACAGCTACACATACGGAGATGTCTGCAGGCACACACATGCCCAGCTTGCAGGCCACAGACCAGCACACTGACATCCCCCAGCTTCTTGGAAGCCCTCCTCACACATTCCAGAGGCAACCAATGACCTGGGTTTCTGTGCTTAGAAACCCGATGCTGTTATTGTAAAGAAAAAGGTTGCAAACTTCATGGTTGGGACCGGGTGGGGGATGAGAACCCAGACGGAGATAGGAGCCCAGGCGGGCAGGCAAAGGGCCAATCTGCAGGGTTAGGAGAATGTGCCTCACTCCCCGTGTCCTTATGGCCCGTGCTACGTGGAACAGAGCATATGGCCCATCCAGGAAGATACCAGGACAACAGCTGGGGGGTTCACTTTGCTTAGGGAGAAGGTCACCCTAGTACCAAGGAATGGAGCCCACTCAGAGGAGCCCAGAGAAATGGAAAGATCAAAGTCTTGCTGTCTTTTCCTGTTCCCAAGAGGCCTGGAATGATGGACAGCAGTAACTTCTGTGGGTGTAGAAAGCTCCCTAGTTCCACTAGTATCTCTCCCATCCATCACTCTGCTAAAGTCTAGAGACTTCCTCACAGTGAAATCATAAGAGGACCCATAATTCTATGTCCAAACCCCATCTCAGTGAGACCCACTTTGGCCACCAGCTGGAAAGCCACAGTCCTGCCACTAAAACTTCTGGTTCTCAGATCTCGCCTACTTATTGCAATTCTACCTCACGTACGTACACTGGGCCTCTCTGCTATGTGTAGGAGGAAGAGACTTCTAGTTCCCCATTGCCTAAAGACACATAGGGTGCAGGATGGGCACCAACAGAAACACCTGCCCAGAGAACCGAGTGGCTCTGACTGGAGGAGGCTGAGGTTGGGGTGTGGGTGGTGTTGTATTTTAATATACAACTTCCATCTTTTTCAATGAAGGTACATTTTAGCCTGGAAAAGTTCCCTAGATTTAGCCACAATCAGAGCTGTACTTGGAAAGTATGAAGGGTTTTTCAGTGAATTTGTATGGGATTCACCTATGTAATACATTTGGGAAGAGAAAGTCTATTCTCTATAGTCATTTATGTGACACTGGGACACTTCCCGATGTACCTATGAGCTTATAATACACTTACAGGACCTCTGAGGTCACCCAGGCCCATAGCCTGATCATAGCCTGGACACCATTGAAAACCATTCTAAACTATGGAACTTTAGTGTCTACTAACTCCCTGGCTTTTTATTTACCAGAGCACTAGACTTAAGTGTTGAAAGATTAGTAGTCCAGTTTCAAATGGGAGGTGGAAGAACAAAAGGCTTGGAGCTGAGCATGGATTTGGAGCTAGGTATTCACTAATGGGGCTATCTTGAGGCCCATTGGGGTGACCAGGGCATTAGCACTCTCTGTGTATTTGGGTCCTAGAAGTTAAAAGTGCTGGTAGACAGGAAGTATGTGACAGAGCACGTGGGACATCTACATGACTAGCAAGTGTGACTTCTCCCTGGACAGGTCTGAGGAAGGGACAGTGACTGAGAGGGTCCTGGGGGCAGGGTTTGGAGATCAGCTGAGGAGTCTTGTGCCAGGTGGCAGAGAGTACTGAGCCAGGGCCAGGGCCAGGCAGTCAGGCACATGGGAGCCATGTGTTCCTGGCCAAGTGGCTGATGAGAGGCAGTCCCCTAATTAGAGAGAGAAAGTCCTGTTTGAAGCTTCAAACTGAGCCTCAAATTCTAATCAGCATTCTAATTCCAGTACATTTGGCAAAATAAAAACAGCTGTGGAGACAGCCAAGGAGAAAAAGACAAGAACTCGTCCCTGCCCTCAGCTGCCAGCTTTTGGAGATACCTGGCCATTTCTGCTGCGTCTTCTCTCCTCCGTCCATTCTAGACTTTCCAGGGAACCTGATACCCACAATCGGGCCTGTGCTCCAATCCCCCCAACCCCCAGGGAAACCCTCCAGGATCCTGACTGGTGCCTGTCCCCTTCCGCCGCTCTGTGTCCTGCCTGTCATTTCCGATGGGGTTGGTGGCGGGAGCAATCACACAGACGCCAGCCGCAGGGATGACAGTGGGTCTATTTTCAAGACCTTGGGCTGTGAGCAAGTCACAAGCAAAACCATAGAACACGGCTCATTGCCCCAGGATGCTACTTTTCGGCTACTGGTGGGTTTGGCCTGCATCCTCCCTGTTTTTGTGGGCCAGCAGAGAAGTGTCCACTTACATAGGATGTAATTTTAAGAGCTCTGCAATACCCAACTACCCATTGACCTGAAATAGAAATCCTTCTTGTAGGAGACATGTGTTGGGGTCAAGAATGCTCCTGCCAAAAGGAAATAGCTAGCTAGACAGAGCAACTGGCTCTCCCGGTGAGCAGGCGTGGAACCCAGGCAGCATTTTCTGTGGGAGCTGCTATGGCAGAGGACATGTGACATAAGATAGGTGGCTTTAACCTGGAGGCAGGGATGGGGAAATACCTGTGATCCCACCAGGAGAGGGCCAGGGGAGGAAGCTGCTAGTGGGAGGAGCCCGGCGAGAATGTCCTGGGTTCAAAGCAGCAGAAAACCCCAATTCTGATGACTCTTCATTGTCTTAGCCAACTGAGTGTGGACTCAAGGGTGCACACTGGCCCAAAATTTCGTGGAATTAATTTTTCACGTCTGCCAGTGTTGTCCTATTTTTCCTACAGTAGTCTACAAGGGTGTGAAATCCTACTACCATGGCTCCTAACAGAACCCAACCTCGGGGATGAGGGCTGAGGATCCTCTGAGTGCCAAGGGGCAGGGCAGGAGCTTTGCTCTTCATTCTCCTATGTGCTTTGATTGGTAAAGGAAGCAGAAATGTGGTCTTTGTCTAACAAGAAAATGAATTCAATGTCTAATGAAGCCACTTAGTGCTGAGAAGTAAGACACTTGCAGAAGCAATGATTGTTTCCATACCTGGATCAGTTGATGAACGGGAAGGAATAAAAAAATACTTAATCGTAATACTTTTCAATATGTCTTCTGGGCGAAGCTAGGCTGGGTTCAGAGCGGAAACAGAAGGGTCATAAACTGGGTAACCAAACATTCGCTCTACTGGTCTGAGGCAGCTCTGGGCTACGCCTGGTATAATTCTTAATAGCTCCTGCTTTTTCCTGTCAGGAAGTCCTCAGCTTGGACAATGAATGAGCAGTGTCAAAATGCTTCTGGGGAGAGCTCAGTATTCTTAGGGAAAATGAGCAGCTCGTGCATTTGGAGTGAAATGAATGAATGGGGGCCGAAGTCAGAGGGTGCCTTATTGAAATTCACAAATGTCCAAAGAGGGGGAAGCGTCATGCTTTTCTCCTTTGCTTTATTTTGATTCCTATGGAGCAAAATGGGCTCCATCAGAGGTGGACCCAGGTGGCACAGTGGCACAGCCTCCTGGCACCTGTTCTAAGTTGATGGCACTCTCTGGAGACATCCCTAAGGTCTCCAATGTGACATTTGCCCCTGGAGTTATATGATGAGACACCTCGGATGCTGGGTTTGGAAGGGCTGAGAAGTCATTGTTTCTTTCCAGTTGATCACTCCATGTGGCCCTTCAGTGACCTCAGTGGTCTCCTGTCCCTTTTCACATGCCTTGGTTTTTGCAGAGGGCAGTCCTCCCATACACGTGGTGTGAGCTGAGCCATATCCAACCATCAGTGCCTATCAGGGAGGTGAGCTGGACAGATGGTGAGAGGTGAGAGGACTCTTCTACCTGATGTATCAAAGGTGTGAGACCTGGACACACTGGGATTGGAGCCTCGGGTCTCTCCTCTCCTGGAGCTGGTGATGGGGAGGTCAGCAGCCACTACAGGCTGGGTCCTTGTTGGGTGACCTGTGGTTTGATGACTTCCATTTGCCAGCTGCTCTTCAGGGATGCTGACCCTGGGTGTAAAGGATACATGCAGGCAGTTGAGAAATAGAAGTGTGTATCTGGGAGAGAGAATGAAGGAGAGACAATCATGAATGTATCTGTGCCAGGACAGGTTCTGGAACACAAATAGAAGACTGAGTGGGGTTTGATCAGGTGAATCCACATTCAGGCTTCTGGCCAAGAAGATCCACAGGTTCGGAGGGTGGAGTGGACACACAGGGTGCAGCCTGAACCACACAGTGGCCCATGGCTCGGCTGATGGGAGAGGCACTTCTGGGAGCCCCTTTCTTTCCTCAGCATGAGAATGAGGCTTTCAGGGAGCACTGGGGACACCCTACAAAATAAGGTAAGTGCGAAAACCTGGGAGCTGGCTCTGAAATTTCCATCAACTTTGTACGGATGTATTGCTTTCACCCCTAGGTGCTCCGGGAGGTATTTCTCTGTGCTTTATATCCATTTCCTAGAGGGGAAGCAAGAAGCAGATGGGAGCGCAGAGGAACTTGAACTGAGGGCTCTTAGTTCTCTTGTCTGGTCTTGCATAAGTGACCATAAAATCATGCGCTCTGGCTTTTGCTTTTGAGCCAGAAATCGAATGTGTCCTCCTATCTGTTACTTCCTCCCTGGATGAGCATGAGCTCATGAACATATCACCCCAACTCTCTAACCTTCATCTTCTTAGAGATCAAATAGCAGGGCAAATCAGGCATGGTAGGGGCACGCCTGTAATCTCAGCCAGCACTCTGGGAGGCTGAGGCAGGAGGATTGCAAGTTTGAGCCTACCCTGGACAATTTAACAATTTAGTGAGGTCTGGTTTCAAAATTTAAAGGGCCGTGGATGTAGCTCAGTACAAAGGCCCTGGGTTCGATCCCTAGAACAAAAAGAATTTGGGGCTGTGGGGAGAGGTTTACAGGGGTTGTATTGGCAGTGCTTAAGAAACTGGCTGCTATTCTGGTACAGGATAGAGAGCAGTAAGCAACCTCTCAGGTCTCACCCAGTCAGGAGTCCCACTTGAGCCGCTTAAATACCACAGCCGTAAATATCATTGCTATTTCCCAAAGTCTTGCCCGAGTGTGTTGTGGCACTGCGATTTGAACCAAGGGGTGAGGCAGATGCAGACTCCATGCCTGCTCTACATCCTCCATCCACAGACATGGTTTCTGTTAAGACTGGAACCCCCCCCCCCAAAAAAAAAAAAAAAAAAAAGAAAGACTGGAAACCCTCCCTGCGGAGGATTTGCCATGGAGACCCAGTCCTCCCTTCCTGGGCTGTCCCAGTGGGTATGATAACCCAGATCTCCAGGAGCCTTCAATTGCCCCTTATTTCTGCTTTGGGGCTCTTGGCAGGTTTTGATCACTGATCATCTCTATTTCTTGATTCCTCCTGGCAGCTTTCTGAGAATGATAATCCTCTTCCAACCTACAGATGGAGATGGTGATCTCCAGATCATCCAACATGGCCTCCCTTCCTCCAGGGCCCTGTTTTCTTGCGGGAGATGATTCTTCATAAAGGAACAGGGTGGGTGGGAGCTCTGAGGTCCATGTCTTTGGGGAATCTTCCAGTGTTTGGGGAGGTGATGTGGTAAGGAAACAGGTGAGGCCTGGACTTAATGGACTGCTCAGTCCATGCACAGAGGGCCATGCTGGCCCTGGAAGCTCCCGGATCACCCTCACAATGCCCACTGTGCTTATGGAGTCTTTGTAACGGTAAGGACGAAGTTCTATGAGTGGAGAGAGGGCATCCGGGCTTTATTTTTCCAGCTCTTCCTCTGCGCAACCGTGGGGTACCAGTTAGTGTCTTGTGACTCTTTCCCCAGCTAGCAAGTAGGTGTCAGTGCAGGGTTACACAATGGGGATGCAGACAGCTGAGACTGTGGGAGGGGCTGCTTGGGACAAGGCCCATATTCAGGCAGCTTCTAGAAGAAGGCCCACCTTCATGGGGTAACATGGTGGCTCCAGGCCATGCTGAGGCAGGAGAGAGCTTCTCCCCAAGGAAGGAGAACACTGGTCATGGTCCCTACCCTTTCCTGCACACCTAGGGTTAGCAGCTGAGTGAGTCCAAACCCACCAGGCATTCCACTGGCTCTCGCTTGAACTGGTCTCGGTGGGTTTCCTTCCTCACTCTCCAGACAGAACTTCGGCCTGGATGGTGAAGGTGAACCTCCAATGGTAACTATGATGCTCTCGTCTTTTGATTCTCAGGGAATTTTGGCCTCAGCAAAGCAGGGTCATGTCTGCTAGATTTATAATTCATCACCTAAGTTTTCCGGATTGCTGATGGCTAGTCCTCTGCTCTGAGGCAGAAACAGCTCTACGTTTCATCATTTCTAAAATGTCCCTACCCTCTCTGCCTCTTTTCAGTATTCAATGAACATGAGAGTTGGAGGTGGCCCTGCTCCTGTGTCTGGGCCGGGTGGAGCCCATATCCCTAGGTCAGAGGCACCCTAGGGGGTGGCCTGTGTCCCTGAATTTTCAGGGAAAGTGTTGATTTCAAACAGCTTGCTGTGTTGGGAGACCATGTGTCAGCCTAGTACCAGACAGATGTGTCCTGAGTTTTCTTTCAGAAAATATGGTCAGCATAACTGGGAAGAAAGAAATCGGAGAGGACAGTAATTGGACCCACTGCGGGGTTGAGCAGGAAGCCACAGAGAAGCTCATTTCAGCTGGAGTGAGCAACAGTAGCTATCACAGCCACCAGGGTGGAAGGCTGCCAAGGCTGCTCCAGCCTTAGTGTTTCCATAAACACGTCCTGGCCAATGGTGGCTTTAAGCTCCTGCCCAAGGTCAGGTGATGCAGGTTTGCATCCTGTCCATCCATTTCCTGTCAGTGATCCTGGGCAATTTGTAAACCTGGAAAAATAGTGGGGCTTGTACCACCCTCGTGTTTGGGGGTTACATAAGCAAGTGAATGGAAACTGATCAGCACAGCACCTGGCTCTCAGCGTGAAATCTCCAGCAGTGGTCACCATCCTCCTCCTCCTCATGAGCTCTGCACCGGGCTGGGTGTGGCGACACTAGGGCGAGCATTACACAGCTCAAGCCTGTAGAGCAAACACATTGCTTATGGCCTGGGATTTATCCAGTCCATCTCTCTCCTTCTCTCCCCTCACACTCTAATTAATCATGGGTTTATTCAGTATCCTTCTAAAAATTCCACATCCCAGTGATTTTTGTGGTTGGTACACACAATATGATCACACAATATGATTTGGGGCAATACGATGCAGGCAAAAGTCATCAGATGTAGCAAGACTTCAAAAGGACATGACACTAGAGGAGTCCTTTTAACAGGAAGAGTCAGCGAAATATAAGATATATAGGTCTGATCTGGCCTGCCATCTGTTTTTATCAATAAAGTTTTATTAGAACACAGCCATGCTCATTCTACTTCAAAGTTTCTCTGCCAGCTTTACAAATGGTCAATTCTGGTATCTTGACTATCAATGGACTATTTTCTTTAGCCCCCAAATAAAATAATACATTAATTTTTATTGATGCTATCACAGCAAGTGAAAATGTTTCTGAGTTTTTACTAGTTTTTCATCTGCAGGGATTTTCCTGCCTGTTGAGCTAGGAAAGCAAAGCTACCCCTGCTGCTGGTTGATATGAACAATAGGCCTTTCACCAGTGCCTGGGATGGTTCATTGGGAGCGTCCCACTGTTTCTTCAGTGTGAGGAACTGGGGTAGTTGTTGTGGGTCCTGAGGTTGATTATAGATGACAGTTACTTTTTCCAAGCCAGGGAAGCAGGTCTCATGTTGTAGGGTGCAGGTTACATACACAAAGACATGAGCACCAGGAGTGGTAGTCACATAGGTCACCTAAAGGATCTGCCTAACCTATCTCTAAACCCTTCAAAAACTGAGATATTTGTTCAATTATTGTTCAGCACATTCTTTCCAGTTGAAGTCAGAGCTTGAGCCTTCTTGTCATCAGGCCCTCCAGGGATATAGGCAGTATTGACCACACCCATCCCCTGTCACTCACTTGGAGACTAGCCGAGCACCTACTACCTTCCAGGTCAGGAGTAATGCATCAGACCTTCTCTCCACATTCTCTTTCCTAAACTAAATGTCAGTGTTGAGGGACATTACAGGCACAGGAACTTGGGATGAGATGAGAACTGTGTCTTTTAGAAGTAGAAACAAGGAGCTGGGGATTTAGCTCAGTGGCATAAGTGCCAGCCTTGCAAGCAGGCACTCATGAGTTCGATCCCTGGTACCGATAAAAAAGAAAAAGACAAAAAAAAAAGAGAGAGAGAGACTAGGGAAACACATCTATGACCAGCCATCCTGAGATGCTTTCTCAGGACAGCCCATCCTGAGATATAAATCGGGCATTAGGATCACTTTAGAATGATGAATGTAGACACAATCTCAAGTATGGTTATATGGTTATTGTAAGACAAACTGTAGCTTATGTTATGTTTTAATTTTTTTTTTGTATCAAGGATCAAACTTATAACCTCATGCTTGCCAGTTAGGCACTTACACTGCTGAGCTAAATCCCTGGCCAGCATCATATTAATTAGGCTTGGATAAAATGGTGACTGTTTCAGAAATTATTACATATGGCAAAGATCGTATTGGTCCAAGGTATTTGTCACCTGTCTCTAGAAGGACTATTCCTCCCTACCTGTCATCATGTGGTACCCAGTGTGTTCCTTTGGGGCAGTTTACTTCCTGGCTTCCTTGTTGGGCATGGCCATGTGACTTGCTTCGGCCAATGAAACATGAGCAGGAAGTGGGGCAGACTATCCTTGAGTGGAACTTTTCAAAGCCACTGCTGGGTTTGACCGTTGCAACTGTTCTTCTGTACAAGAATGGTGGGTTCCAGGTGGGACTGCTCTTCAGCATGGGCTCCAAGGAGCACAGACTTGGGGAGCAGAGCCAGGTTAGGCAATGCAAGTGTGTGGAACAGGAGAATGATGTTTCAACCACTGAGATTTGTAGGTTATCACCACACATAATTTAACTAAAAGTGACAGAGCAGCTCCCAGTCCATTTTGCTTTCTGTAAAAGTGGCAGAATGCTAGCTAATGCCGTCCCTGATGCCTTTTAGTGCTGAGGCTCCGGGGCAGAGGGGAAGCAGGAGACAGAGTTTGAATTGAAGAGAAAATTGAGATCTTCTCAGGCTTTCTGGTAATTGAAAATGAGACTGTTCTACTTTCTAACAGGGACAAGAGAAACTATCACCTAGGGCCTGAGAGTCTGTGGTTGAAGACAAGTAGCAGTGAGTGAAATGGAACTCTTTTCTTGTGTTTCCAAAGCAAGCCCATTTAATACGTGTTACCTTATTTTTTGTTTTTATGTTGCAGAGCATTCACACTGAGCTCCTATTGTGATCCAAATACTGTAATCCCTTTTCCTGTTCACCTTACAGTCCAAAAAGTTCATATTTGTAATCCCATAGAAGTGTTACTGGAATCCTGGTGAGTTAATGCCAATCTATCAGTGCAACCCACAGTGGGAATAAAGACACTAAGACATATTCAGAGGTACAGGCAGCCAAGGAGGTCCTGAGTTTGGTCCAGGTGAGCACTCACAGAACAAAGCACTTGCCTCAGTGCCTCATCTAGAATTTATTAACTCATGAAGAAGGGAGTGGCTTGAGGATGAGTGACTGTGAGAATGGTGGGAATTATGTGACACTGAACCAGGTTTAGCTAGGAGGCCAGGAAGCACTTCTGCAATATGCAGGGAGAAGGGTGTGCAGAAAGACCAATCTGCATAACTCTAATGGGGTAGCATTTAAATGTTAGGGAGCTGTTGCTTCAGTTTTTGATGTGTAAACTTTTGTGCTCTGGGAAGTCATAACCTTTCATTTTGGCATTTCTGGAGCTATGTGGCTCTGCCATCTTGCTGTATTCAACTGTTTACAGGGAGACACGAGGTGAGGAAACAAAACTGTCAGCTGTCATCAAATATTATGCATCAGTGCCTCAGCCAGCCCTAATTACATTCCTTAGAGCTAATTGAAAGGAGAAGGAAATAGCCAGCTCTGTAGATATCAGTACATGGAGTTAGGGCTCAGTTTAACTATGTGGAGGTGATTGTTCTGCATTCAAGGAGAGCTGTCCAAATGGTCCTCTACAAGCTACACCCTCAGACCTTTATTTTTTGTTTTGCAACAAGGTCTTGCTAAGCAAATAAGTTGCCTTAGTTAAGGGGCTGGGGTCGAATTTGTGACCCTCCTGCCTCAGCCTCCTACAGTGCTGGGATTACAGGAGGGATCCTCCACACCTGCCTTACTATCTTGTTTTACATGTGTTGCTCTCCTCACAGAGAGGATGTAGAGCTGCAGGCACAGCTGTGGTACCCAGTGAGTAGGCACCTGGTTTCAGAGAAAGCCACAAGCTTCCTTAGAAGAGAAATAGAACAGAAATTTGGGCCCCCACCATGAGCAGATGCAGTGGCAGGGATGAGACATGGATGAGTAAAAACCTGCCAGCAACTGATCTTAGACTTCCCAGGCTCCATAACGATGAGAAATTCCTGTTTATAAACTAAAAAATAAAGAACTTTGTGAATGGGTACAATTCTACAAGTCATACTCTTTTTTTTTCTACCAGTAAGGAAGTGAGGATGCAGAATACCCCTTTATTTTTCTTAATTCTCTGCTTACTTGGAGATTGGGTGTGGATTTCTTTTTTTTTTTTTTAATTTTATTTAAGGAGAAAAGAAAAAAAAAAGCAGGGAAAGGGTACAAGTTATACAGATTTACAGAAAAAAAATGAACAGTAGGAAATCACTAGTTAATGGATTACATATTGTCATCTTAGAAATAATTGTTCAAGTCACAAAATTAAAGCTTGTAAAGTGGACATTCCATCAATGATACTGCAAACAGTTCTGTTCATTGATCCAATAAAACTCTGTGATATCATTTTCTATCTTATACACTTAAATATACATGCAGTTATATAGTTTAGAGTACTTTCTTTTCCTCTCTTTTGTACCATGACTATTACACATTTTGGGTTTCATTGCTCCCACGGTTCTTATTACTTTTTTGGAAGAGAGTAAAACCAAATGTGACATAACAGAACAGAATCGGTCAAGTCAAAAGGGTGGACATAATAGATAATGTAAAAACATAATACAGGTGATCAACAATGGTTACCATAATGTCTCCCGCTATCTCTAATAGAATTGCCTATATCATTAGTTATAATACAATTGAACAAAACAGTAAAGAATAAAACCGACAAAACCAAAACATTGGAGACATTGTAGGTCTTCAAAAGTAGCTAAAAGTCAACAAGAATGGGCGTCATAATGAATCTCATTATCTTCACAGCTGATGCCTAAACTTTCGAACCTGATACTATCCAGCAAAACAGAATAGGGGAACATCAGTTAAAAACCAGATGGTGAGAGTAATACAGGGCTTTAAATCAAGGTAATGAAAAGTCAAAATGGGTTACTATAATATATCCTGCTATTTTTTTCCTTTAATTAAAAGGATAAAGATAAAAAAGTAAATAATGGAGTGGAGATTGAGATAAAAGAGGGCATAACAACGAAACAGCGCAGATCAAAACATAACCATTTAAGCAGAATAGTGTTTCACCACCAGATAATCCAAACCTAAAAGTAGTTACCATATTGTTTCTTTCTTTGAAATCCTTGAGTACAACTTCGTATACTGTAGCATTAAGTATATCAAAACAATGTAAAACCATTCAAGAGAATGACAGCATTACAGAGTATTTAGAATCGACTAACAGAAAATGAACAATGGTTTCTGTATAATCTCCTTGTCTTTAAAAGGTTTTTGCTTATACTATCGTACATAATAAAATCCAATAAGATACAGCCTATTTAGACCATTGGAGACAGAAGGACAAAAGCTAGATGAGACTTCAAAACAAGATGATACTAAATCAGTATTACCTATTAAGATGTCATTTTCTCCAAAATAGCTGTTCCTATCATCCAATCTTCTCTGCCTCATTTCTGTTAAGCTCTTTTTCTGTCAGTAGCTGTCAGTTTGTCTTCTTCATTTTGTTCTCTGCTCCATTTGTTGTGGCCTCCCCGCCACTATTTCTGGGTTCTTTGTATTTTTCTTTTTTTAGAATATCCTGCAATACTTTCTGTAGAGTTGAATTGGTGGTTGCAAATTCCCCCAGTTCCTCTTTATCCTGGAAGCACCTTGTTTTTCCATCAATTTCCAGGGACAGTTGTGCAGGATATCTCAATCTTGGCTGGAGATTATTATCTTTCAATGCTTGAATTATTTCCCCCCACGCTCTTCGTGATTTGATGGTTTGTGCAGAGAAATCTGCTGTAATTCTGATGGGTGTTCCCTTGTAAGTGGTCTGTTTCTTGTCTCTTACAGCTTTTAATATTCTGTTCTTGTATTGAATTTCTGGAATTTTTATTATTATATGCCTGGGTGTTGCTCTGTTTGGGTTGTAGGTAGCTGGGGTCCTGTATGCCTCATACATCTGAGTATCTTTACCTTTTGCTAAATTAGGAAAATTCTCCTGGATTATTTCTGTGAGTAGCTTTTGTAGTTCACTTGTTTGCATCCCTACTTCTTCTTTTATGTTCTTAATCCTTAAGTTATGGATCCTCTTATCATCTTCTTGTCTTTGTATTATTGCTGTTTGTTTCTTTGTTATTTTTAAGAAGTTTTTCATTTCATTCTCCCATATTACAAGTCTGCCCTCCAGTTCAGATAGTCTGTCCTTAGTTTCTTTCAAGCTGTTATGCCAGTCTTCGATAGACTTCTTAGTATCTTGGTAGTCCCTTTGAACCTGCTTCACGTATTCTATGCTTTCTCTGTTTTCTCCATCAAACAATTCTCCCCTTTTTTTCTGTTCTTCCATTCCATCACCTGTTTTTTCTTGGGTGGTGCTTAGCATTTCTCTAACTATTCTGCATACTTCTAGCTTCAGGTCGTTGATAACTTCATTCCTGAATTGGTCTATGAGGCTCTCTATATGGTGCCTTATGTGTATTGGTGCGGTGTCTGCTATTGCCTGTTTCTCAGAATTGGGGGCCGAGGAGACTTTCTTGTTGCTGCCTCTTCCCATGCTGCCTCTTCTTCTCTGTTCCTTATATATGCAAGCTTATATAAGAGGCCCAGCTTCTCTCCCAGTCAGCCACAGCCTGATCGAATTGCGCCAGTTAGGTGTTCCCGCTCACCGCTGCGCACCAGGGAGTTACGGACCAGGCAGCCTACGCGTCTCCCCTCCCGGCCACCGTCAGGCTCTGGGATCTGGGTTGGGACAGCCTACCAGGTCCGCCGGCAGCGTCATGCAGGCCAGGCACTTTTCACCAATCCCGCCCGAGAGGGGGATGTGTGGCTGGAGTCGCCACCGCGCCCTGCTCCCGCAGGACTGCTCGGGCCCAGAAAGTCCTCTGCTGGAGTCAAACTGTGGTAGAGTGTCAGTTTCTCTCACTCACCTCACCATAAGTCAGTGCACGCCTCCCTGCCGTTCGCAGATTGCCGTTCTCAGAGCTTCTGCACGTCTCTCCCCTTGCTGAGCCGCTGTAGAGGCAGCCAGCCGCTGCGCGGCGGGAAACCCAAATCGCGGCTTACAATGGCGCGGTTCCAGCCTCCACACCGAGTCTTTTCTGTTCCTCTTTTAGCACCAGGACTGCATTCCAAGTTGGCTTCTCTCAGCCCAGTTCGTTCCTGAGTCAGCAGAGCATATCTCCACCTGCTTATGTCTCCTTAGTCCGCACCATTCCTGGCTTCTGAGCCGAGTCTTTCAGAGAGCCGCCGGTAGTTGCTGTTATCTGTCCGCCATGTTC